TTTTTTTGCTATAAATTTGACAGAAAAGATAATCTCAAATTTGACCCACTCAGAGAATATCGAATGTTCGAACACACACCACAAACACACACACACACCACACACACACACGTTACTTTGAGTCCAGTACTAAATAAACAATTATTTTAGACATGGGAAATTTAGTCTTGTATTAAGACGTTACTAACATAACATTAAAAGCTGCTAACCCTAAATTTGTAGAATTCATCCATTAAAATAATATTCCTTACAGAGGTTTTATTTTTATTTTTATTTTTTTTTTACTAATAGCATTGCAAATAAATACGCGCCTTGTTCAAATTCTTAGAGTTCCCAACTTATTCTTGTTTTCACTAAGCGCAAAGAATGAACTTGAAATTCTCTTAATCTATATGAAAATTGAATTTTCTGACTACAGCCAAGAGATTTTCATCGGCACAATCAGGCATAAGACAATTTCACTGTTGACTACAAAGCAATTATTTTTCTACTTTGTTCTCTCTTTTGTCAATCCATCGATCCAATAAAAAAAAACAACACTATATTTATTTCAATTATTTGCAAATCATTTCTAGTAAGGTAACTTCCATTTCGTCAGTCGATAATTATGTCTTTATTTTCTTTCTTTCTCTTTTTTTTTTCAAAAGCATCTCTGAGTCCTTGTTGGAAAAAATTAAGTTCCAAATATCAAATCGACCTCGAACCGGTGCCGTAATGGTAGATAGGAAATTAAAATAAAATTACTATTTCCAAAAGTGACGATGACGAAAATATTTCTTGGCTCCGCCACACCTAAACAAAGGAATGGACCCGTTATTCCATTTGAGGGTAGGAAACCATCGTCATACTCCCCAGGATTGAGAACTGAAGAATGAATGAAGAAAGGCCTTGTACACATGTGACTACCAAACACCAAAGGGCAGAGAGAAGCATTTGCGTTCAACTTGAGATACAATCACTAAAACAAACAAGTTTGTAAAAAGATTTGAAAATTTTTTCCTAATAAACTGCGAAATTTCTTAAACTGAAGTTTAATATGCAACCTATAATCAATTACCTCACGTTTGTACTGAATGTATACAAAACCCATCAATAGAAGTCTGAAAGTCATTTTTCTTTGAACGATTTGATTGTTTTTACTTTTAAAACTAGAAAAGAACAGTTACATATGACCAAAAATGTCTGAGTGAATTTATGGGGCAATATGTTTGGTTCTTTTTGATTATAATTCTTTCATTCACAAATATTTTTGTATATATTCCAATAATGCTGTCCGTGAGAATAAAGCAATTTTGAAGTACCACAATGATTAAGAAAAACAAAAACAAACCGAATTTAAATGAATTGAGACCAGTTTGTACCCGTATATGATAATGAACGAACGAAAGGACACGTAAAATTATATGGGAAATTTTAAAAACCTGTGAATATTTCACTGTTTTCCTATTTGAATTTTCTGGTGAATTTAATTCTTAAATTAATGAAAATATTCGTTCATATGAAAGTTCTATGACAAAAAATATCCATAGAAATTCCTCTATCGCATCGTTATATATTTGAATCAAACAACTTTAAAAGAGACTGCATTCATCCGTAAATTTTATTTATAACTTTTATTATCATTGAAATTTTTTCCATTTAATGGGCGCGCCGTTTTTAGGTCTTCCATTCTTTCGATGCTTTTTTATGTGCGTGGAGGGGATTGATTGGTGACGGAAAAGTTTATTATTTACCCAGATATACAGGGGACGTTAAATTCCTATAGATCTTTATACAAACATCTTTTTTTTATTTTCTCTTCTTTCTTTCTGTCTCTTCAAATGTGTAATCAACCCAGTGTCATCACCACGTGAAATAAAACTTTTAAGGTCAATTCTTCTATGTTTTTTTTTTGTCTGATTTAACGGTTATTTTCAAATTTTTTGTCGTTTTAATTTCAAATTGTCTGGGAGATTCAAATTTGATCATTTAATAAAAAGATTCGCTTATATATATATATATATATATATATATATATATATATAAAAATAATTTAAAAAGAGAATTTGTATTGGTTATAAATAGAAATAAAAACTGACCCTCTAACAAATTTTACAATATCAAATGGAACAAAGACAACAAGAGAAATAATCAAGTAGAAACATTATTTTTGTTCAACAATAAATATTTTTTATAAACATTTCAAATACACTAATATATACCTGTGCAAAAGTTGATAAACACAATAGAGTTCTTTGGTGTGTCCCACTTTAATTAAAATGAATTACAGTAGTCTACGTGTGCTGAGAAGGTGTAGTTAGCTATAATTTTTTTTTTTTATCAAAATTAAACAGATGTTTTTTTTTTTGTATTAAATAGAAAAAGTATTGTTCTTGATCACTGATTGTTATAGATTTATCGCTCGTTAACCAGGGATTCTTCTTGTGGAATAGAATATTTTGAAGGGGTAAGGGTTAAAATCCTGGAAATGGTTGACAAGGTTTGTTGTCGTATTGAATAT